AATCCTCTACAGACATGGGGGGACGTTACAGCTCAATCATGTAAAGGGTGAAGGAGCTGCTGTGCCCATTTGGATCCCTGTCAGAGGCACCTCACAGCAGGAGGGGTTTCATTTCCACCAAGCTCAGTGGGTAACAGGCAATCGTGTCTCTCCTGAACTGTTCCAGGCACAGGGAATGACTGGGGTGGCACGCTGGAATTATCAGCGGCTGGTGGACCTGAAGCAGCCGGGGGTCATCCTACCTGCAGTGTTTGACCCTGTGTTACTGATGGAGTTAAACGGGGCCTCTGTGAGAGTGACAGGGCAGCCCAAATATCCAGCCTTGCATATCTCCAGCAGGGACACAGGGGAGAAGTTTGGCCTACAGTATGTGGAACCAGGCTGTCGACCAGTGCCTCTTGACTTTGACAAACATAAGTGCAAGAAGTCCGCCCTAGGAGATGTGGAGATTGAAGAGGAGTCTTCATCTGGCTTTGGGTCATCAATTCCATCTAAGGTACTCCTTTACATTTAGTTTTTATTTGATAATATAGAAAAAGATTTGTATGACTTCATAACTGATAACTAATTTTGCTCAATTTCAGGAATGGTTAGATGATTCCCCTTCTGCTGAGACCCCTCTTGCTGCAGAGCCAGAAACCACCCCACAGATTGTCTTGTTTCACCGATTTTCCACTCCAAGTCCTGTGACAGTAAAGGAACAAAGGTCTGAGGAATTTCTGTCAGATGCAGGTAATTACATTATTAATACTAATGTGTGTAACCTGTCTGTCTCATATATGCATACAAAGGCACAAACACTTTAGTAATTTTGTGAATCTCCTTTAGAACTGCTGAGGACACCACCACTGCCTATAGCTGCTTCTCCCCGTGCAGCTCGGACTGGACCCATTAAGACAGGTGGTCGAGTCTTTGTCTTGGACCACAACAGATGGACGGATCCAATGAGAAATGCCATCGATGGTCTCCTGGCCAAGCACCATGGGAGCAAGGATCTCCTTAAAAGGGTGGATGCTGATTATGCTGCTATGGTACAGAGTGCCTGCACTGCACTCAACCACGAAACAGCACATAAACAGGTACATAAAACACCTTGCTAAAAAAAAAAACACAAATGCCTCTCTCAACACCAGCCCAGAAAAGCTCCTAGAGACACAACAGTTATGGAAGCGTCTTCACTCAGGCAGCGAAACCATCAGTGTCCCAGTGACAATACTGCCACCTGCTCCGTTCAATCCACCTGCAAAGAGTGTTCCTGAAGACGTCCCTCTGACCCAGGCAGCAGTTGAGAAGATGGTTAAAGACATCGTAGAGAAGCACCAGGCAGCACTGCAACAACAACAGCAGACACAAAAAAAACAAATTAGATCCCGTTTAGCTTGTGGTCAGCCAAAGTCTCGTTACCTGGGTGATGGCTCCTCTGTGCATTTCTTTTATCAGGCTGGTGAAGTGAAATACTTCTACTGCTCCAAGAAAGTCTTTGACACATACTCTGCTGAGGGCCTGACCAACCCCAGGATGCCATTTGAAGATTTTGCAGACACTCCCTTCTTTCAGCGGGAGCTGGAGGCCTCTAAGCAGAGGGGGGCAGAGAGGAAGAGAGTGATTGAAGAGAGAGGCAAGAGGAAATCTTTAGTGGAGCATCCTTCTGGTCGTCTGCGCAGGTTCTGCCACCAGCCGCTAAAACAAGGTCCCAATAGTCCTCATATCCACACTGGTTTCCCTGGAGTGGCAGGCAAATACATTTACTGTCCTGCTAAAGTGCTCTCCCTGTATCAGGCGCAGGGAATGAATGCACAGATGACATGGACAGAGTTTCAGCAGTCCCCGTTCTATGAGGCTGAGAGGCAGAGGTGGATTGTTGAAAAGAAAAAATAACTTTGTTGTGAAACACAGCATTTAAGGTCTGTGCATGTTCTGTGCTCTCTCTCTCTCTCTCTCTCGACCATTGTGGAATTGTGTATAGACATCATAAGTTATTTGTCTTGTGTATTTATAAATGTGTTTTATCTTGCTTGTATTTGTACATTTTTTAAAAACTCTTAGTCCTTATTTACAATACATTTTCAACACCTTACTATAACACACTCTGTATATATTCTTTAGATAGTTATT